TGCGCTACAGACACATCCTGTAGTTCCATTTTCAAAAGACTATTGTGGAAAGCGGTCAGCTCTTTTCTGCAGTGTCTCTTAAAACGGTTTAGTATCAGTATGTTGTTGGTGTTTATGCGGCGGCCAGGGGTACCAATCGCGGCATTGACGACCAAGGTTTAATAGGTAATATTAATACGCAACCTCGCGGATAGTTATCGCAGCAGCATGGACAACTGTCGGTGCACCCTCAAACTCTTAGCTGCCTCTTCTTATAAGGTGGAAGTTTTGGTTAAAATTACAGCTTTTCTAGCAATTCTTCTTTTTCTACAGTAACTTTAACGATGTTAGTTTTTAGTACTAGTTGTCAGCGCATTGAAGATAGAATATATTGATATATCATTGTTATTTCTATTATTTCTTTGCTATATATTTCAATTATCACTACTATTATAGCCCCCATTATCCTCATTACCGTTATATTAACTATTTTAGTTAATCATCGTTACTGTGGGTTTTAATGGTATTATTGCATTTATTGTTGTTGCTTTGTTTTCTTTAAGATATTACATTAAGTAATAATACCCTTTTTGTATTGTTATCATTAACAGTACCATTACTATTACTGAAAAGGTATCCATTCTAATGTCATTTTTTAATCCATTAATAACTATCCTCGGTCTGAGTGGCTTAGATGAGATTTTGAAATAAAAATACTATTAATTGACGCTGTTTAGATAGTTTTATTAACTAGTAATATATAGATATGTTCCCTGTGCCTCATGGTTTTTACTGTAAGTTACAATTAAAATACACTATATATACAGTATCCTTCTAAAGTATCTATACTTCAGATTCTCCTGTGAGTCAGTCTGTCGTGAATAGTAGGATGTGGTTTAAAATTGTCTTTTTAATGCCCATGGTTCGACCGAAAGTAAAAAATGTGAGGGTTCCTTTTGTCTTGAAATTTTTTTACTGAACGCTGTATAAATAGCTTTTACTCTACAGCTAAAAAATATAAAATAATCAAAAACAGTTTGCTTGGAGGGCCATCTCACTTGACCAAATATTACCTATTTTTTCGCAGCAATCGTTACAAATAACAGTGGAACGTTGTAAACACGAGAATATTTTACATTTTGCGCCACGATATTTTGTTTTCGCTTTTGACCCTCACACTAGAGCGGTTTTCTCTATAGTGGTTTCTTTCTTGAATCTATTCCCGTTCTTAAATACCTAAAATTTCATTTATTCTAGCAGTTGTTTCGCGAATATTTTTGTGTATCATACGCTCTCTCTAATGCTTTTCAATAAGTGCAGATAATAGATTTTCCAAAATTTTTCTTCTTTTCACTAATTTATTTTGGTCAACGCTTCCTTCATATATAACGAGAATTTATGCCAGTCAACTACCCATGACCACCGCCTTGGGTTGCGAACGCAATTATACAAAGCACATAATTTGTCGACCATATCTACACCTCCCTTGGTTTGATTGTAGCTTGTTACTATCTCAGTTTTCCGTTTTTCTCTATTATTCTTATCAATGCTGTCAGTTACATGCAAACTTGATAATAAAAGCACAACCTTCCCTTTTTTGGGGTTGTACGAAACTAGCGTGGACTTATTTCGGTAATCGAACATACTTGGAAACGGTGAAGTGATTTTACCATCGGAAATAATGGGTGTATTTCCCGTTTATCCTTTTTAATTGTAACCAGAATAGTTAGTCGGTAGTTCAGTAACTTGACATTAACTAAATTAACATAGGTAAACCAATTATCTATAGTAATGTTTCTTCCAGTATTCCACACTGGATTCACTAAGTCTTATGACAATACTAGCAGTATCTTATATACTATGAATGGCCCCCCGGTTGAGTTCCGATATATACCTCCATATTTTTAGTACGGTACACTTTCGCATCTAAGAGCAGAAATTTTAACACCATGTTATTTATTGGTTTATTTGGCATAAATTGTTTGAAACTGCAACTTCCCCTAAAAGTCTCCAGTTTTTCAACTATTGTCAGATACTCGGATGGAACATGAGAGTTTTTAAAGTTTTCGACAAATATATAGAAATTTGCCATAATGTTGCCAGCTAATCTGTTTTCCTTTCGATCCGGGTGTGGTTAACGTCGAATCGTATGTACCTCATTAGAAAACGGAATTTCACAAGAGACATAGTAAGTTTGAAGATCTCTAACCCTGTACCATTTGTGGTTTATAGTTGCTCAATGTTTGCCTACCACTCTTGGTAAAATCAACAATACGATACAATGAGCCAAGAAGAGCTAGTACTTCACTTCGACTAGTTAATTTAGCATCTCTTTTCCGAGCAAAGTTTAATATGCTTGATGAAATAAATTTATTGGTATCCTCCACACTTACGTCAATAATTTCTTCATCAAAAAAACATTACCAACAATTTATAGGAGTATTTTCCCCTTTAGATCGAGCAGTTACTCCGGGTAAAGGAGTTACTATATTTTGTGTTCTTGTTCTAACGTATAATGGTGGAGCCTTTTTACGCCACTTAGTATTCCCGTGTTTTCCCAGTTACCATGTTCCAGCGTCTACTTTTTCATTGTCGTTATCTAATAACTCATCTTTCGTGTAAGATTCTTGACCTTGTATTTCATAATTGAAATCTTCGCCTCTGTGATCCTCATCACAGCAACAAGTATGTCTTCGTCTGTCTGAACTTTATCACCCAAATGTAAAAGAAGAGTTGTTCTGCTTCATAACTTATTTTCTACAGAAAAAAATTGGAAGTGCAAAAAAACTATACGAAAGTTCTACACTCCTACTTCTAAAATTAATACTAAAAATAGAACAATAGTGACACAAAAACACGGTTAGTGGCAGGGGACCTCTCAGATTTTCAGTGCTCTAACTCCCGAGATATATATACATAAACGGATGCGAATTGGTATCAGCCTAAGAGAGTACTTTACCAAGCGTAATATGCAATGACTACTAAGATATATATGAATTTCGAACTTCCAGGTCTGTGAGATACCCCCTGCGACCACTGTAAGGTTAAAGCATAAAGCTTTTTTTTGTAATCCCTGCTCTTGGCGCTTACGTTGTGGTAAGGTACTGTAACTGTTCGGTGACAGAGGAAGGTAACTACGGAGCGTGTACAGAATAAAACGCAATAAAATTATCTTTATAATTAGGTGAACATGCTTAATTGTTATTCCACAGAGAAATAAAGATTTTATATTATTTAAACAAGCCAAATTTTATAGCTATGTATGCTAAAAACCAAAGTCTAAGGAACATTTTACACTTAATAATTTTAATAATTGGTCAAGTTTGTGTGCGGCTCGAATTTTAAGATTAATTTGCCTAGATTTTCTGGTTTTGTTGTCTATGGGAAAATACCTGGATTGTATAGTATTATTACAAAGTAGTTATAATTTAAAAAAAGTTTTGAAAAAAAGTTTTGAAATTATTCGCGAAGCACTTCTTGGAAAGGTGTCGTAATGAAAAACTAAAAATTTCTGAACGTTAATTTCTTTACGCTTAAAAGATTACTATAGAGCTCAACTATGGCTTTTACTCTAAATAATCGACTGTTTATAGTAAAACACTTAACGTGCTCTAGACGGCTTAAAGGTTTTATTATAATATATGAAAAATTTCTGTTAACCTCGAAATTTTTTTAAAATAGCGAGTTATCTACACAAATTTGTTCACAATAAATTCTACATTTGTTATATGCTAGTATTAAGTAACATCTACGATTTAAGCGTGGCACAAATAAACTGAAAGCTGGTAACTTGAGAGTTTACAGAATTACCACTTCAAGGTTGAGGCGAGCGCATCCTACATAGTAAACTACTCTAAACACCGGCCTGCCAAAAAAAAAACCCTTCTAAGATGAACTATATTAATAATAGAATATTATACTTGGTAGGAAAGGTGTCTTACGACTTCTGATGCAAAACTTTGTATGTTAATAAACTGTCCTGAATGCCACACACCTTTTCTGCTAGTAAAGTTATCTTTAACAGAAATCTTGCTATTCTTCTGCTGTTAGCTTCCTCTAAAAAGTATTTAATATAGATTTCGTGTGAATCTCTTTTCCTTCATTAAATATAGCGCTACACCTACTAACTTATGTTTAAAATCTTTTGTACACAAAATATTACTCGAGTAAAATTTTTAGCTTACCCTTAAACATGTAATACCTCGTATAACTTGGAAATACTATTTATTTAAAAAAGGCAAGGTCACTTAGTTAAAAAAAAACAAGTAACTTTTTTTCTAAATTTTACTAGTTGCTCCTTCTTAAAACAACTTAATAGAAAACGAAAAATCTAATAGTGTTGCCCCAGAGTCAAAGTTCTAGTTAGGCTTCACATAATATTTTTGGCGCTATCTAAACTTTAAAAATTCTCATATCTTTTACGACCTTACTTGAGGACATCTTTCTCTCTCCCTCCTTCGTCTCGTAAAGGCTATAATGTAAGAGAGCACTAACAACTTATGTGGAAAAATTGAAGTAAAAAGTACAGTAAATCCGGTTATAAAAATCTTAATATAACTACACCCTAAACTTGAACTGTGGTCAACGAAAAGTTACAATTTTTATTGATGTATTCAAACTCCTCAGGGTAATAGTATTACGCTAATATGATACCTTTGATGCTTTTAAAAAAGGTCTACTCGCTTACAGCCATCTCTAACACGTGTTAAAAGGTATCGTCATGTGAATGATTGTTTACTCTGATTTTGTTTAAGTTAAAATGGTTTCATTTACAAATTAAGCATAAAGTTTACTAAATTCCAAATAAGTAAATACAAGGAAATGATTTTACTATTTCATGCGTTTAATGAAAACTCAGCTTTTAAATAGTGGCTTAGATATTGGAAGCCTTTACTATCATTAGAAGTGTTCACGCCATACTTAGAAGCGTAAAAGCTGATTGGAGAAATTAATTGTAATTTTGAAAGTATGAGTATATATTTAAAATCGTATAAGGGCTACAGGCCAGCGTGCGAGGCCCTCTTTGCTTTTCCTTTCCTTCTTTAATGTCCGTTCAGTGTGGTACTTGCAAGTGGTTTGATGTTAGGAAGGGTTTTGGCTTCATTACACCAGACAAAGGTGGCCCAGACCTTTTCTGCCACCAAACCTCCTTAAAGTCTCAAGGTTTCCGTGCGTTAGCTGAGGTTATTATCTGCTTTTATTCTTTACATCAAACTAATTTTTTAAAAAATAGGGTGAGCGTGTGGAATTTACCGTGGAGATAGATGGAACTGGTAGAGCGAAAGCTGTGAATGTTACGGGGCCTGGTTGCTACTATGCAAACTTTTTTTTATGCTTTTTAACTTGCTGGGTTCTTTTATTTAGATGGCGTAGACTGTCAAGGCCCTCAAAGGCGCCACTTCCCCTCTCGGGATAATTATTATGATGACCACGCTTATAAGCCTTCTAATGGATTTTCTTCACCTTCTTATAGGAGTGGAGGTCCCTCTAAACTTTAGTTTTTATCGCTTTTATTTATCTAAAGTACATAGGTTATAACCAGAGAAGACAACGTGATTACGAACCTCGTTACTACTCACACGCCGAAGACGAGGGTAGCGACAACAGGAACTTTCGCAGAGACCGTAGAAGTCACTCTAGGCAAGGCTTTAGGGGTCACCAATCTCGTCATCCCCGTTATGAACAGGAAAACCATTTTTAAAGCTTATGATTAAGTCACTTTAGAGTTCACTGTATTTAGGACGACAAGAAGACTGTTATCTATTATTACTAAAAGATTTCGCTTATTTGTAGCCTATAAGGCCTATAAATTTTATACAAGTGTTAAGATCTATCGGTAATTACTTGAATGCTTCGCTGTAACGCGGTGTTATGCTTTAATTTTTTTTTGGTCGTGCACCGCTCAGTTATTTATGATTGCACTTCTAATCTTTAATTCATTAAGTTAAAGAAGTTTTAGTTCACCTTGAGTTTGTTGCAATTGTAAGAACCTTATAGATCAAGTGCGTTTTTATCTTTTGTTCTCGCCTAAGCAAAGTATTGAAAAGTGCTTGGGATAAATATAATTTCGTTCATACTAGGGTAGCCTTAGCTTATGGTTAAAAGTGTTATACTTATATCACTTCTAACGTTGCGTGTGCTAGCCTTCCTAGTTTGTGGCAATTCCTTTATAAGTGTTAGTATTTTAAAGGTAGTTACTTTTATTCAAGCACCGAACTTCTTTGTGTTGGAAGTCCTTATGACGTTGAGATATACACACATATACGTGCTTTCACGACTTGCTAGTATTCCGTTTCGGAGTATAGTTAGATATTCTACATATCGAGCACCTACTACTTAAAAGAATTTATTTTCATTCTCCTCAATACAGTCAAGTCTTAATGGTTTAAGGGGAGGTTTATTGAGGTGAATTACTGTTAGCGACCATTCTAAGAAATAAATTATCTTGCTGTGTGTAACTTTTCATTAAAGGCTCCCGTACTTTATTTTGTTTAAACTCCACTTTTAATCAACTGGGAACCTTAAAATTACTAATAGCAGATTTTATTGGAACTCGTGGGGAATTGCTATTAACTTGTTTCTCTACCCTCTTAGCTGTTTATAAGATCGACGGCTATTACAATATCGTAGTTTTAATCCTAGATTTTAAGGAATGAGAGCGGGGTAGCCGTGGAGGCGGCTCCCCAGGACCCACTTGCGGAGATCCGGCTTGACATTTCACAGGACACCCAGTTAGTCATTACCTTCGTTAAAAGTTACCCAGTATAAATTGGAGAATGTGTCTTCTTTAAATCTTATAAAATTAATTAGTAAACTGAATCTGTAGAGAATTTCTTAACGTTGGATTTTTCAAGATCACACAGGAATTGTAAATACTGAATTGAGCGTTATTTTAAATTTGTAGAACGTTAATACGAATGTTCATGCCTTCGTAGGCGTATCAACCACCTCTGTCACACCGTTATAACCATTGCTTAATGCTATAGTTAAACGCGACGCTAATAACCAATCATGCTACTCGGTTAGTTCGGACTGGGCTGCAGCAGGTGACGATTATCAGGCTGCTGACTTTCACTTTATTGAAACGGTCGAGCTGAGCGCTGTTGTTAATAAGCCGAAATAATCTACTTTTTGCCGTGGCATCACTAATGAGATGCTAAATAACAGTTTTGAATGTCGTCATAGCTCAGCGGTTAAGAGCATTGGCGCGCAAAGTCAGGGTCGTGGGCTCGATTCCCAAAGATGTGACACTTTTTCCATCTTTGACGGGCTGCGTAGTTAATCTAGGCTTCATAATTCTAATAAATACAAACTGCCGCCTGTGGCGGTAAGCCAACTGAGCTGCCTCGCAAGTTCTACTATGTAATGGCCCTTAGCGCGAAACAAAATTATTTTAATTTTAAATAATTAATTTTCTGACTTACCTCGAGGTTTTAAACAGTTAAGATAAATTTTTAACTCGAGTTTAACTATAATAATGGACGGAGATTCTTAGCAGTGACTAACGTTAAACAAAATTATATTCTGCTTGCCTCTATAAAGTTAACTTTTATAACCAATTTCTTCAGCCCTTTTCGATTGTGTATCTCTTGTTTAAGTTACTGTGCTCCTAACAATGACATTTGGATGTAGCGACTATATTTATAGTATAATAGATACTACTAGTAATTAAACGCAAAACAGAATCTGGCGAAATCCTAGACGCGCACTGTGCCGCTCATGCCGCCAACCAATCCAACAGGTAACCTTAATTTTTAAAAAAACAAGGAGAAACAATGCTGGCGATAGTCGTCTACAAAATTGAATGTACAGTTCCAAATTTTTAAACTAACTTTCTCAGCCTTTAAGAGTTGATAACTCCACAAGTATGCCAATAAATTTAGTGCACTTCATAGTTTATAGGGAGAAGGCACTCCAAGACTTATTATCCATAAAGTGAAAGATAAAATATAGTGGTACAAATAGTTTATAACACTTCATCCGTAAAGGCTCGAAAAAGTGCTAATCAGTGGAGTTCCTCCTTAACATACGAAAAAGGGGAGGAATAAACATTAATATCTAGCGAACGTTAACTTTTGAGCCACTCGCAGACTGAACTTTGCTCTTCACCTCGTCTTCGGAAATGTCTGATCTATGGGTAGCCTCAAAAGTCTGTAAGAAGCCATAAGTAAGGTAAAGAGTAACAGTTACAATTGTAAAGTCTAAAGAAAAGAGAAGCGCGATAAGAGTAGAAGAATCCTCAATTAGAAGAGGGGTGGAAGGCATACGGGCCAGTAAACAGCATCCTTCTTTCTTAAAAACATACCACGTGGTGAGGAGCAAAAAGTTCTGAGCAGGCGCCTTTATGGACAGTAACACGCGCTCGGGCAAGACCAGTGACTTTCTCTCCGATCCACGCAACATACACGAACTTAACCGTTGTTATTCCTGAGAAAACATTGATTATTAATGCTTGCAAAAGCGAAATAGAGAACCACCTTCGTAGTTATCAGTGGTGCGTAACAGACCATACTGGGCTTGCTCATCTTTAAAACTCGATATAAATTCCTTCATGATAAAGTATTATTATTGTTAGCGATTTCCAAAGCCTAAACCCTTTGCTCAGGACACAAGAATGCCAAAGCCTACAAAAAAGTGTGTATTATATACAGAGCTTTACTGCGATATCGCCGGCGCTTTTTTTCCCGAGATTGAGCTTATCGGTTCTGGGATCTACCTTTACAGTAAAAAGACACTGCGTAGATGAACCGCACCTTTATATAACCTTGCTTTTCATACTCAGCAATGACTAGTTTTACATTGCCGCCGTCTTTTCTTAACTCCGTCATGGCATCCCTTAACTCCTGGCTGAATTTCAAGGCGTGAGAGCTAACATTCACCGAATGCTTTAAATAAATTGTAGTAAGAAAATGAGGTTATGAAAGGCCTCCGCAAACACAACTTACAAAGATAGTGTTACTAAGTCAACCATAAAGTAATAAATATTCAAGAACAAATACTTTAGAAGTAGACTCGGGCTTCTTAATGTTGGTAGCAGCAGATCTTTGGGTAAAGCCTCTCATCTGCCTCCCCTCGGCGGAGTCAATTTCGTGTATGGCTGTCCCAGAAACCTTCAAGATAATAATTATTAAGTTGCCGCGGAATAAAAAACCACTTTTATAAGCTAATACTTCGGCAACCCTACGAGTGATCGAGGCCTCACTGATTTCCGAAGGGTCCACTATGTCGCAAATAGAAACGTGGTGAGGAGAAAAGAATTTCTCCACAATGTCACCTCTATAATAATATTAAGGTAAATATAAATATAAATAAGTATATAATTTCCTTGTTATCCCGAATCTTCCTTTTTTAACCAATGGAACATGAATACCAACGAAGTGCAAAAGAACAAACTTCACAGTGCTGCTGATCTCCACTTGCTCACTAACACGAACTGAGGGAAGTTAATAGCTTAAACATTAAAAGTAGGAAACAAAAGATATACGATAAGCATATGATATATTATCGCTTTTAACTTCCGAAAGCAACTCGTTTAAGCCGCCAGTCCCAGAGCCAGTAAGTTTAATCAATTCTGGACTTCCTAAAGAACATAATGACTATACTCGAATCGTAAGGGTAAGTATAAGAAAAAAATGAGGAAACCCTTTGAATATAAAGATTATAATTTTTTCTTATAAAAGCGGGTTAAAAATACAAAATAGACTTAAACAATTACATAATTTATTTTTACTCTTTACTGACATAAAAAATAGGGAAAAAACAAATCAACCTGGAGTTTAAAGCTTAACTGTTTAAAAAAATAAGATAAATATTTCATAAACTATTTTAAAATTGAAGCAAAAGTTGTTATCAAGTATTAAAAAAAAAGATAGTGTAGCAAATTCATATAACACCATTTACCTTGATGGCTAGCCATAGCCCAGTTTATAGGGCTGTGGTCATCCTTTACGTTGGAAATAGCTTCTTTCAGCTCCTGTTCATTAACTACTTTAACAACCATGCCCTTCTACAAAGTCAAACGGAAGTAGCAATTACTTAGTAGGTATTACTACTAAAGAAGTAAATAACATAGGTTACCAAAAGGACCTCGAATAAGCAGGCCAACCAATGAGAACTTTCATAATTTTATCAAGAATATGAGGAAGAAACACGTGCGTTTTCTATTTAGAACAGTGTTTTCCAACCAATTCACACTTGCAGTCCGGCGAAAGCATAAAATATATTGGCGAACAGGCATCAACCGAAATAAAAACCAAAATTTATAAAATTTTAATATTTGGTTAATGCGTCTCTGCTTTCCGCTGTGTAACTAATTGAGATATACGTGGCTGCGGTGTTGTTTCTGAAAGACAAAGGGCTGCATTAACATCCAATCAATTCCTCTGTTTTATTTTTATAGCTGACACAGCTAAAAAATCTCCTCACACAACTAGGAAGCCGAAAAAACTACCAAAAACTTAGCTTTATAATTTTGAGATGGGTTTGTATCCACTTGATGAGACAATGATTGCATTTTAAGTGTGGTCATTAGAGTGATATCAGAAAACCATTCGGTTAGCTTTCTTTCTCTAAGGGTTCAAGAGTGCATGATTTTACATCAAAAAAAATATTAACTAATAGGTTTCCTATACGTGGAGTCTCATTTTCAGGGAAATAATTACAAAGTTGTCAGTCAACGCACTAAAATATAGGCTTATGTTGAATGTGATTGTGTGGTTTATATATAGCCTTAATCTATTATAAATATCCTCTAGTAACAACTATTTCTAAAATTAATTACTAAAACGATCACCTCATAGATGGATAATGAGCCTTTACGTTCTAGACCTGTAGACCAGAATCTACAACAATTACAATTTAATGACAACAAGGGCTAATCCAGTTCTATGGATTGGGACTCAAACCAAGCAAAATACCAAACGGACAAACACATGCAGAAAGCGAGAAAGCCTTTTTTGTTTATTTATATATAAATGGCTTTTCTTGGTGCTCGAGCAAGCCAAAAACTTCGAATACTCGAGCTCTCAATCAGGAGTAATCGCGGCCAAGGTTCATTCCGGTTGTAAATCGATAATTTCTTTGAATTTTATCTCTTAAACAAACATGTAAACAGAAAAAAACTATTGCTTAAGTGAGTCTAGTGGGCGCCGATAACGAGCCTTATCCCATGCATCGTAATAGAGCTCTCTCAATAGCAGATTGTTAGTGTGCCTGGTTAACCGGGCATAAAGACAATGGCACTGCGTCGGAAGACGGCGTTCAATGGGTCTAACTGGATGCAAGACACCTACAAGTGTTGTTCGTTGCGAGGTGTATAAGTTAGTTCTTGCAGCATAGTAAAGGGTAAAGTGCCTTAGTTGCTGACTTGACCTTCGCCATCAAAATTTGTTGTCAATAATGACTCCCAGGTATTTCGCTTGAGAGCAACACAAGACCTTCACGCCCATCAAAGGTTGAAGGGGTCAACGAGAGAACGCGTTTTCTCGTCATTAGGAAGACCTTGCTTCGTGGAAATTAAAGTGACTTTCCATTTACGGCACCAGCCGGCGAGCGCGTCTAGATAGCGCTGCAGGTGCTGGTAACAACATGCCGGGTGGCTTTGACTAAATGGATGTGTCATCGGCGTATAGGGCGACACGCGTGTGAGGATTATTTGGTAAGAACACGTCACGCATATAAATTGCGAACAGTAAGGACAAGAGAAGGTAGCCCTGCGTGACCTTTGATGACAGTGGTCGCAAAGGAGACAGTGTATCTTCTAAGCGCACGCTGAAAATGCGACCGTCTGAGTAAAACTTCAGCACCCGTAAAAGACCGCGCGGGAAGGTTAACGAGCGCAGCCTCCGCAACAGACCTTCATGCCAAATTTATTTTAAGGGCTTCTCAACGTCAAGAAAGATGTTGCTTTCTGCATTTTTATAGTTAAAAGTGCGAGTAGTCCATTCGGTTATGCAAAGGAGCTGCTGGGTGGTTGAGTGTCCTTGCTAAACTCCAAACTAGAACTTGTCAGGGTGATGCGAGCGTCTACGACCTCCCCAAATTGGCGCGTTAAAGTGGTCTCATCTACTTTGCCGGCAGTTGACAAGAGGCTGCGGTTTCGGTGACTTCGGCAGATCACAACAATTGCTGCCTTTGATCTTAGTAGAAGTGCCGACCATCACTGAATTTACTTAAAGGTACGGGTAATACATCGCTGCTAACGGCATTTTTTCCAACTCATTAGTCATGCTTTCGGAACCAGGCTCCTTGCGTTTAAGTAGCTTCGATAATCCTCCCGAAAATCGTTTGTATTACTAACTCAAGTGGTTCCCCGGTTTCAATCAGGAGAAAATTCGTTAGAAGGTGCACGTCATTGGCAGTTTAGGGAGCAGGTGGCACGAAAAGGTAGCTTCGTCTATACCACTCTCAGCCGCAATATTTACTTCGCGAAGTGGTGGTAGTGGTGCATGTCCGCGATTTCAGACCCATTTTACAAATTTTTAAAAGGAGGAGCTGCCTGACTTTGGTATATAGTGCTCTGCAATTATAATGGGCCATTAATTTCGTTTAAATACACTTATGCGGTCGGTTGAGCTTTAGTTTCTCTTCGACGCTTTGCGACAGCTTGGCCACTCGGAAAAGCCGTCGACGTGGGCAGATAAATTATGTTGGTCTGACAAACGATGGGGGCGGTACTTTACCTGTTGATATAGACAGTGTGTGCCAGTGAGCTTCGAAGCAGGCAATAGCACCATCCAGCAGGGCGGGCGTGATCTTGAGAAGAGCAGCAAATTTGCCCTTTTTGGTATAAGACCGAGTGACAGTTTCCGGTGGTATCCTTCTCTCACCTAGTTCGTGAAGAACTGGAAAGTGTCGGACAGTTTTTTTTAATAAAATTTTTTAGAATAGTAGCGCATAAGCGTACCCATTTTACATGATCGTTGGGACAAAATAGTTTTGCCTTACACCATGTGTTCCAAAAATGCTAATATTTTTAGTTCTGTCATTAATGGTTATACTAAAATAGCGTATTTTACCGCGTGTTACGGAGAGTACGTCATTGGCAGATTTCAATGTCATATGAAAATTTTTTCCAAAAGTGGAATTATTTCTGTCCCTACTGTACGCTATTGCCCAAAAAGTCAGCTTTTTTGAGGCATTCGTAATATATATTAATGTAAAAATCTGGAACAAGGCCCTAAATAGAAATATTAAGTCCATTCAGAAGGTTATATATGTCCGCCATAAACACAAGCTCAGTCCCCCTTCTCCCATTTTACAAAAACTCTTCTAGGCTCTCCCAGAAATTGATTTACTTCTTCCTTTAGTTCAAACAAGCGTACAAAAACTTTTCCTTTCGATAACACCTCGCTTTTGCCTGGAGTAGAACCTGTTGGTAAAGTGAGTTCATTCTCTCACATTTTGTGGTGAACAATCTTGAGTTCCCAGCTAAACTACATATTTCGTTAATTACCTTCACCGCGTCATTCATCACAGTTTTTAGTCCAGAAAAGTGCTTCTTCGCAGCTAGATACTCCGGTGGATTGTACAGAGTATGAACAAAAAACTTCTTGATGAGCGACGACCAATCAAGCTAGCAACGACCGCCCGTACGCACACCAACGCATTTACGTCCATCTGAGTCCTATGCTTAAAAATAGTCATCAAGAGTATTAGATACCTCCGAACTACTGTCCGTACAAGTAAATTAAGGCAACATAAAAGTTCTTCCTTAAATCTTCATCTTCTCTATTCCTCACAAAGAAAAGCAAAATAGCATGGTTTCTGAATTCCTTTCTATCAACCATTTTTTAAAACACAGGACATCTCGATTTTTTTTCCCCACTTTCTTTTCAATATCGATGAGCATGTCAACAGTACTCCTATGAACAGTTTATTGGAAAACAGTCTCTAGTTTTTATAGCTGAGGGCCCAAATTTTTCTGTGCGCTAATATGCTAAGTTCAACTAAACCATCACTAATAGTAAACAGTTTTTTAGTTTTTTAGTTAGTCGAAAGGCAACTGAATAACCTGCTTAAAGCAGCGACTTGTGACTATTCCTTATAGTTCTCAGTTGACCTTCTCTGAAGTTTATTTGGTGACGTAATCTCCATAGAAGTTTTGTAGATTATTATTTGTACAATTCAAATGCAAATGACGGGCCAGTTTTCACCGCCAGGGGCTACAACGAAACCAAGCTTTGAACATCCTCTATCTTAATACTTGACAATTTTTTTTTCTCTTTTTAGGAATGTTTACATTCCGGAGTATCAAGGTATTTAATTTTCTCTTTCTTCTAAACTTGAAGACTAGTGCTTGGCTTTCAGATTCATTAGTAATTATTTTATGAATAATGTTTTGCCTTCACTAAAAAGGGATAAAAGGTTTAATATTTGATTTTTTTTATCCATCCTATAGGTTTCTAAAATTTACGGAAAAGGTAATTTATTATTTAAAATTTTGCAACCCATTAATTAGAAAACAATACGCCCGAACGCGATACAGTAAGATTTTTTTCAACACACCAGCTTGCGGCTTCGGAGACCGCGCTCTTCGTCAATACTCGTCGCCTGCAGGGTTCCGCCTCCCATCCGCACCCCAACAGCGGGAATGAATTTGAAGCATATAGTGGAACAGTTGAGTAAGAACATAGTGAAAACTTTCGCGGGCAACAGGTTAAAGAACACAAATTAAAAAAACCATCAAGCATTTTGATGTTTTCTAAGATTAGTGCATGTATGGCGCGCTTTTTATTTCACTTTGGTTATTTGGGTGTAATTGTAAAGAAATTTAATAATTCTGTTTCTGCTTCTTTCTTACCTCCACGTCATTGCTTAGGCGCCTGTCAGGTCTTACCGCATCCCACGTCGATAATGTGGGGACAAACCTTAAACTTGAGAATAGGCACTACGCCGTTGCTACGCGAGGCTCTATGTTGTAAACTCTGTCCTTAGCGCTGTACATACGGGACATGTCCAGTAAGCGCTAATCTCGAGAGGACGCACTACATTTCTCCGTGACTTTACCCCCATGAGGTTAAGACCCCATAGGGCTTAGAGGAGGTGTACCGTCTCATTATTGAATATGAACCAATATAGCGGAAACACGTCCGCGCCCTACTGCTGCCGCGCGCGTCTTCTTCTAAACGTAAAAATTCGAGAAAAATCAAGCGACTGCCCTGGTGCACCCTATTTCGCCCCTTAATTTAATACAATTTAAAGACTTTTACAAAGCACAGAGGTTGCTTTTAAACATGTCATAACACATTTCGGCTACCAATGGGCTCAAGACATATAGACTCTGTATGTGTTCTCGCTTCCAGATGTTCCGCGAAGCTCTGCCTGGTCAAAATTTTCATGTTTATATATATAATTAAAAGAAATAATTTATTACGCACAATTAACTTAATTAAAATTAAAACTAGGTAGTTTACTCTCGATTTAACGAGCAACTCTATGTCATTAACTTAAATATAAACTGCTGTGAGGGCCCAAACCCTAGAAGGCTAATTTGTGCAGGAGAGCCCCTTTAGAAATTTTTTATGTAAAGTTTTTTCTCCACGCCATAAAGTTAACCCCCACTTTTAAAGGTAGTACATAATTTTTTAAGGTTTTGTTTCTTATAATCACCCTTTTATCCTCCTCGTACGTGACTAACTTCTTTTCTCTCCGCTCAAACCTCCTTAGCGTTGTAAGCCATTGACATCATTATTTACAGCAGCTCAAAATCTCCACCTCCAGCAATTAAAAATATGCGCTCCTACCTAAACTTATTGAGGTTGGGTTAACAAAGTGGAAAGTAACCCTTAATCTTAAGTAGCAACGCCATACTTATTTTGAGGAAAAGAAAATATTTACTCAAAGATTTATTTATTTTTTAAAAATACTATTATCCTGGGCAAAGCAACTCAATCCCTTGGTGTCTTTACTGATAACAAACTAATTTGGAAGGTCAACACTTTATACCTGGATTAAAAAAACCTTAATAACTAATTAATTAGCTACAAAGCTTTTTTAAGTCCAATTAAGAGTTACGAAGAAGTATATTTTTTTTTTCAAAAGATAGACCTACAACTGATACAAACCAACTTTTTTTTAAAAATGTTAGCATGGGCTCCTCGGTTTATGAGATTTTCCCAATGATAATGTGAATGCGAACGTAAACTATATTTGAAGTATACTAGGAGCTTAGCCGAGAACTAAAAGCAACCCTCTTACTTTCACTATTTTTTAGTCAACCGAAACATCTTTATACTATGCAAGTTTTATAGCGAAACATAACAATTATACTGATAATAACGGTAGATAAAATAGTTAAATATTAATTAGTAATCTATTAGTGAAAATATCTATGGAGTAATAGTAAAAATACAGTAAATAGTAGTTATTATGACATTAATTATTATTACTATAGTAGTAAATCGGCGAATATTAACTTATTTTTAACTTATAAAGAAAAAAAATAAACCTTTTAGAGGTTATTTTCAATGTTAGCGGTTTTAATTTTTACTAAAACCTGGCTTGTAAAGGCAGCACCTTTGCAGGGGGGTGAATTTCATTAACCCTTTCACTAGGAAGAATGTAGATTAAGCAGTATGTTGTTACTTGAAACGACTGTAGCATGCCGTGCAATAAGTATATTAATTAATTGATTAAATCCTAACGCCCTGCATATTACAGAGAATGCACTTTATAAGGTAAATAAATAAAAAGTAGTATCAAAACCTTTTTCATTTTTTGTAAAAGCAAGGTAAAATGATTTTAGAGGACAGAGTTTACGTTTCTAAAATTGTGTCTGACTTAAGAAAGTCAGTTTACGAGACAACTCTTCGAGGTTTATACGATAGTTCAAACTGGTGAACTTTTATTATTGTGTTGAACCTTAATTATAACTTATAAAAAAAAAATTAGAAAAAATTGCTTTACTTATTATAACTAGGGCTGGTAACCTTTTAGAAACTTTAAAAAAAAGCACTTTATTCGTAGATAATAATTTTATGGAATATGAGACAGATAAAACGTTGTTGAAAGAATTGCCTCAATATTTGGTTATATGTATTCTGTACACATCTTTTCTATTATTAATTATATTATTACATATTTATATAGCTGGCCAAAAGTTGCTTTGAGTTAAAAGAGTTTAAACGAGCAGCACACTTTATAGCGGGCTGTCAAGCTCATATAACCCGCTTCCTATATTATTACTGCCTATATCTGGTTAAAAGTCTTATAGAGCTATATGTGAAAATTTTATATAGTGTAATACCAGGAGGGCGAAAGGTTAAAATTGGATTTCCAAATGCAACGAAATTTAAAAAGTTACTTTTTAGTTTTCTCTTTCTTTTCGTGGTACATTATAGTTTTTAACAGTGAACAAGTCATGTTCCATAGTAAACAAAGAAATTCCTTACATTCATGATAAGTTACGTGCTCTTCACCTGAAAAAAGAACTTGACGGTTTTGAACTATACTTGTCTCTTTCTATAAACTGTTACTTTTTAAGAAGTCTTATTAACTTTTGTGCCTAGTAGATACGGAATCGTTTTAAAAGAAAAAAAATGTCTACTTGAAGCCCTTAATATTTTTGTTGAAGCCTGCAATAAAGTACTTTTAACTTATAACGCAATTTAGCGTTGACAATTATTGAATGTATCTTAACGTGAATAATATGTCTTTTAACTGCGCTATAATGTTTGCCAGAACTATTCGAAAGCGGGCTGAATTATACTCAGTTTGAACTTATATTTTTTTTTTTAAAAAATACTGTATTTAGTAGTCTGCGAGCAATTTAAGCGTTACTTTATTTATAAAAGACACCGTTTTTCTATGCAATATGGGTGGAGCTCTCCTCTCTGGCGTCTACCTTCCCCGAATATTATTCGGTTTATTATCTTTTAGCCACCTAGGTACTTTTAAAAGTTACAAGTCGTTGAATAGAATCTCTCTCTACCGTCGCACTGGATGGTAGACGTTTTTTCTGCTCAGTATGAATTAGGTCAAGTACTTAGCCTTTCAAACTATAACACTATTTATATACTTAATCTATAGACTGCCACCGCGAAGAAAACTCTATCGACATCTACGAGAAACTGGCAAAAATATTCGAGAAGAGCTCTTTCCTGCATACCAAAATTGGGCTTTGCAAATATAATGCGAGAGGTAATAAAGAAGCTTTCAGGGTACTCACACCGCGCTGAACGTTTACGGGATCGCAGATTTGGCGGGGGCGCAAAAGGAGCTCCTGGGGGCCTGCGAGGGCACCAGCGGATGTATGGAGGGTCTCGACGCCCTCTCCAACATCTTCCACGTGCAAGGCAAAAAGGTGGGGTTACCTTACCTTACGCCCGGGTGAACGAGGTCTATTCATAATCGACTTACAGGAGCAACTAGCTAAACTTGCGCACGAGGTCACAGAAATCAACATGCGCAGGCCCGAGTCTTGTTGTATTGTTGGTAACTTTTCTATCCCCTTGATTATAGGCCTTCCATGCCGTAATAACAAGCTAGGAAACTATTATAGTGTATACGACGACCACCAGAAGGCAATCTTATATTTCAAAAAAGCGCTTCACCTAAATTCTAGTTGTCTAAGCGCTTGGCTTTTTCTGGGGCACGAGGTAAGTGTTTTACTTGTTTCTTTGGCCTGCAGTTACAGAATGCTTTTTTCTCGGGTAGTACTTGATCACGAACAACGTCTCCAAAGCCATCAAGGCGTATCATTCTGTACTCGGTACTGCCCTTTATTCTTCTTATGACAATTTCTAAGTCGAGCCGATACAAGAAATTGACCCGAATGAGTTCCGGGCGTGGTACAAGCTTGGTCACGCTTACGAGACCCTCCGTCAATTTCCTTTAGCATTGTATTATTATAAAAAAACCGCATTTCTAAGGTACACAAAATGCAGCAATAAATTCAGCTTTATTAACATAAAAGTCTCCCTACAGACCAAAAGACGAAAGGCTTTCCGATGCTGTCAAACAGCTGAGTAGAAACATTATAGAATGCGAAGAGACGGTTTAGGTAAGGAAGGTATAATGACACATGCAGCTAATAAACGTATTCGCAAAACCTTGCATCCATGAAAGCCATTATTCGTCGGCTCGAGCTTTGAAGGAACGTTTTTCGTATTCTTTAAGTTTGTACTTGCGCCTCTGTCTGTTTCTTTTCCGGGTTTCGATTATGTTTCTCTCTTGAAAGCTACGGAATCGCTCTCGTAGAAAATCGGATTTAGGCGTTATAGCGCGGAGAGTCCCGCTGAGTTCTTCACCTGAGCGAGGCAACAAGTTTAAAGGACTGCTAGGCACAAGGAAACATAGAAGATACCGATCTGAACATCGAGGTGTTCCGGCTGATACTTCAGCCTCCCGAATCTTTTTGGCTGCAGCTCTGAACTGAGCACACAGGCAGTACCAACAGAATAGGCGAGCATACTAACACAAATACGGACAAAAGTTTTTTCATCCTGCGTCTCTTTGCGGCTAACTGAGTCAGTTCGCTTTTCTTTTCTATCTCAAGCACATGCTTCCTGGCTCGAAAAAACTAAAAGCCCAAGAAATGTAAGAAAAAATACCACATTGCAGTGACTGCAACACCACCTCGTGAGACCGTCTCTTTTCGAACTTTTTCCGACGAGCAGCGCGTTGGAGGGCTCGTTGTCTTGCTTCCTTATTTCGTTGGGCGGTCTTCTTTCTCTCCTGAACTTCTAGTAAACACAAAAATGGTTATCAAACGGAGATCAAAGAGCGACCGCATATCTTACTGTTTGATTTGTTAGCAACTTGAAAGATGCTTTTTTTTCTAAGGCTTAAATTCTTCTCACTATTAGATTGCATAAGAACTACAACAAAGTAATTAGGTAAACAATAAAAAATAAAAAGATAAAATTAACGTCTTACACTTCTTATGAAAAGTTCGCCTACTAGCGCTAACATTTGTCCGAAATGACTTCGCCAAAGAGAGTGGAAATTGATGACCTAGAGGTATTGAATTCATGTTCTGGAAGGCTATCTGACTTGCCGTGGTGAGAAGCGCTCTTCCATGATCAGCAAGAGAGGGATTGCAAGATAACCCGGGATGGCAAGGCTACCGCCATCAGCGAGCAAAAACAAGAGTAGCGCTGTTAGCCAAAAAGGCCGTAAAGCTTAAAAAAAAACTTCATACAACTACAGCCCTCCTAAGTTTCGCTAAAGGGGGCTTCGACTTCCCTGTCGCAAAAGCTTTTTGAGCGGGTTTCACAAAGTTTTCAAAGTTTACGTTGGCCCAAGAAGACAGGTTGGCATTGTGTACTTCTTCACACCATAGATCTTTTGGGGTCCCTACAAAAGTAGACTCATCTGCAAGTCGGTAAAGATAACGAAAACTATAGTAAGAAACGAGTTTAGGCTGCGCGCGACCTTGTTTTCCAGTTAAAAACCTTTGGGCTACTTTCTTATAACAGAATTTCTTGCTTTTCTTTTTCTCTCTTCCACGAATGGACTCTACGTGGGGGTTAGGGAGGAGCATCTACTTTCATGACTATATATTATTTAAATTAAAGAAACCAATAATAAAGGTACCCTCTCGCAGTATAATGAGTTACAAATTGCCCTAAAATCTTTTCGAGTTTGCTTAGCAGAGTTAGCTTTTGACGCTTGCAAAAAAGACTCCTGATATTTCCCGCGATGTAAACCCTTGTCTATGACAAAAAGTTCAGCATCTGCTTTTTTAGAAACTGGGCCCCCGGTTAAATTTTCCAAAAGAAATTCTTCCGCTTTTGCTTCGACATCTAGATTGTAATATATAAGTATCAAAGTAAAAAACTTAGCTAACCTGTTAGAGCTAATAAAACCTTTTGTACTTAAAAATTTCCTCCAATTTTTTTTCTTACTCCTACTAAACTTCCTTATAGATTTAACTGTCCCATTCCCTATGTCGGAAGTATTTTCCTTTATAACCATAATTCATTAATAAGCTCCTACAATATTTATGTTTAGCAGTCAAAAGAGCGGAGGAGCAACCACGGCATAGGGACACCCTTCCTAATCTGTCTGTGGGGTTTACCTGTACCCTCTTCTTGACACTTTTTAAAATTTCTAGTTAACAACGACCTTGAAGATATTTACGAAAGATATGTTCAATTATTGAAGCTGGCTGCTAATAATAGTTTTCAAGCGTCCAGTACATTACCCAAGTTTTCTATGTAAGTTATTGATCTGATTAGTACGGCTGGATATATATTTTAATTGTGATTAATTTAAACTTTAGAGTAAAGAAAATTGGATATACAAGCACAAGGTTTGGTTTTAGCCTTACACTAACGATTTAGCTTTTTCTCGGAACACTTAAAACATATGGTTGCAGGGGAAAAGTATAATTATTGGTGTTTTTGATTCTTTTTATTGTTTTAATAAGTAATATATTTACGTTAAAAAAAATTTGCTTTTCTATAAGCGAAACTCTCACTTTTTAAAGTTTTTTAAGTTATTTTATCTTACGCTTGTGATGGATGTCAAAGTACGTCTAATTGTTAAACAAGATGATTAAAGTTAAGTCAGAAAAAAACATGTTTTTTTTCGTGCTTGTCGGTAAATTTGCAGGTTAGATATTATTTTTTGCCCGGTTTTTTAGTTAATAAATATTCTCGTTTAAAAAGTTTGCTTTACAGTACGACAACGCCCTAAATTAAGAGATTTTCACCCACGACTTCTAGTTATTAATTGATAACTCTGTTGCTATCTATATTGGTTGCAAATTCACAACTTGCTCTTATTTTTAAAAAATTATATTTTTACTAAGTATTTGTATTATTCTTCGAAATACCTCAAATTTAATATATTGTTAATGGTCACTTCTATACATGTTCGACTTAAGTTTTGGAATATAGTAGAATCTGCTTGCAGTAAATAGAGTAAGCTAAGGTTGTAGGAAATATATAAATAACATTTACTCCTAGCATGTATTAAAAGGTTTAGTTAATCCACTGTATAAATAGCTTAGTTAATGGTTTTTTTAGTTTAATTTACTATTTATTTTTAAAGTTAAGTCAACTAAGCCTTAATGTAGGCCAAGTATCTGTTGTTGTCGTGATTTAAACAAACCCCGGTTAAGGCTCTCAAAGCCTTTTTTATAAATCAAAAATTTGAATAAGAAACTCAAGTCTAAATAAATTCAAGGTGAATTCAATATGTAAGCAATGCTGCATCTTTTCATGCATGGAAATCCATCTAAACCTTCTCTTATAGGTAGTTGTTAGGCGAGCAAATAACAATATTACAATTCCTTCAAAATGCCTGACTTTCTCATCCTCACACATAATATGTTACAGCTTTTCTTGTAAACAGAGTCTTAATTACCAAAGCTTATTAACCCCACAAAAGTAAGAGAATGCACAAAAAAATCCAAAGGTAAACATGAAAGTTTTTTGCTATCAACGCTTTAAATATGTCATATACTTTAGCTGACTAAAAGAAAGTTATAAGGATAAACCTTGGAGAAAAATATTTTATTAGCACTAGCCTAATATGAAAGTCTATTTCATACTTTTTTATTCATCGCGTTTAAAGTCATTACACTAACTGCTCTAATGTGTAAAATATTCTGATTAGCCAGCTTGAAAATTCCGCTAATCAAGCACGTGATTTACTACTGTCGCCACCCTTCTGTTAAAATATACCTCTTTTAACTATAGAGCCTCGCAGTCGTGCTCATTTCGCGCACTCCTCCTTATAGCAGTCATTAAATTATTTTGTAGACTTTAAATTTGTTAAGATTAAATTTTTAGTTAAACTAAGAAGTGTATCATGTGGCGTTCTTTAAAAGTTTTGGAGGATTGCGAAATAATTCTTAATCCAGTCATTAAGAAATTTGCAGTGTACCAACCCCTCAATTTAGAGAAGACCAACAACTTGCTGTAATTCTTTTTTTAATAAATAATTATTGGAGTGAGTATACAATATCTAGTTAACTATATTATTTAGAATTTTTGTTAAAGAGAAGCTTCCTCCTCTTCACTTTCACAACAAAGCAGTACAGTTTCTAAAAGTCATAGATGAAGAAAAGTTAAGAGGTTTATTAATAAAAACATATGATGGTATGACCTAGCCTTGTACACATACAATTATTGTAACGTTTACAACATGAATAGAGAAGGGTGAACTTTTACACTCACTTTCTTTGGAAAATAATTTGAAAGCTGAAAAAAATTTGCTTAAACTGATTCAAGAAACAAATTCCTTTGATTATCGGTTAAACGAGCCCATTTATTATAAAGGCTTTTACTTTACTAAAAGAAGTCACATTTAATAAGTAAAGAAATAAATTTTTTTATCTTTTACTTACACTTGAGTGGTACCTTTATTTTTAATATCCACAAGAAACATGCTGCTGTGCCCAGTTTTATTGTTGCCAATTTAGACGGTGGGTATATATATTTATATATCGGTATTAATATCATAAATACATTCTTTTGCTAGGTATAGGGTAACTTATAAGATTTACTGGCTTAAAATGTATGTAGTCTTTTTATTCTCACTTAAATACTCTGAGAAAGTCATTTAAACAACTATTTAAAGATAAGTAATAATATGGAAATAAATTTTACTATTCTGAGATATTTATTAAAGTTAAGGTATCCTGTTTGCCTTTTGTTTACTTTGATAATCTAAAACAGCCGCCTTAACAGCGTCTTCAGCGAGAACTTATAAGTAAAGGGGAAAAAAATTAGTGTGAAGGCCATATTACTTTAAAAAAAATAGATACGGGAGCAGTGAATTTTTACAGGGGGCAACTTGAGTTCGTTAGCAATTGCTGAATTTTTTAAAGTTAATGCTTCTTCGATAGTCTTTCCCTTAATAAGTTCTGTAGCCAACGAACTACTAGCGATGGCAGAGCCGCAACCTGATAAGCATATATCGCCTTTTTGCAAAGAAAAAAGTATTGTTTATTTACCGAAAGTTTTAAAACAGGCATTGGTAATAACATTGTTCTCGTCAACCTCGATTTGTAGCTTCATAACATCACCACAAGCTGGGGCACCAACAAGGCCAGTACCAACCCGAGGATCGGACTTATTAAGGGAACCTACGTTTCTTGGCCGTTCGTAATGTTCAATGACCTGTATAATATAAGGCTTAAAGCAAAAAGACAGGGGTCAACTGTGGATGTATATTTACTGAGTTCTAACGAATATAGAAGTTTGTTAAAAATGGCTAATATGACAAGAATTTTACCGCTAATAACTTAAACAACGGTATACTGATAATATTTATAAGCTGCGTATAACGCAAAGTAACAGAATTAACTTTCAAAAGGTATGGTTCTAGTATTAACTCTCGAGCTATATTTTTCGAAAGTTACAGCTTAATTACAATAAATCTATAACTATAGTACTTTAGGGTGATAAAAAGCCAAAGTATTCTTAATATAAGAGACTCGACCCAACAATAAATAGCGTCCAAGTAGTTTTGACATGTGAAGCGAACTACTAAAAAACTAGGTATTCCTGTGACTAAAATTCGTGCTCTAGACCTTCCTAATATAGCTAATATGTGTAAATGGCGTTAAAATTTTAAAGTTAAGCAACAAATACAGCACCACAGTTACTAAATTCACGTGAACTTTGCTGTAGTGGTTTATCTTAGATGGAAGACTTTTATAAAGTCGGCTTAGACTCTGCAAGAGGTTTGACTTAGTGAACTCATACACCATTTTAATTTGTGATAAAGAAAATAGAGATAAGCTGCTTCTTACTATTAATGCGTTTGGCCTTATTACCTAAAAAACCTTTACCCACTCTCTGCATCACTTTTGTTGTAGTGTAATATACATTAATTTTTATTTCTGCCAAATTTGTTTGTATAACTTATACTGTAGTAAATTTAAAATTTTGCGTATCCATATAATCTTTATACCTAAAAAAGTTTTATAAATTACAAAAAAAGGGCTTTAATGATCTAAAAATGCCGAAAATATTTATATATAAATGTTTTTACTAAATCATCACACTTGAGCGCTGCGTTAATAAATTTTTTTTAACTTCAGTTCAAGTCATGATATAATTATTTGAAAATAAGGCGCACCTGTAAAGGATCCAACTTAAGAAGTCCTGGTTAGATTCAGTACTTTAAAAAACTTTTTTTTAGACTTACTAGAAAAATTAAGTATCAATTTATTTTTACTAAATGACAAAATTTAAAAAGTTTAAGCTAAAATTAGTAAGAGGGCTACACCGTTTTTTGCGGCTAATCTGCAGAGTGGATGGGTATTTGAGTCTACTGAAGAAGGCTATTAAAAATAAAAAAAGAATCAAAGATCCACACTTGCACACATATTAAACGTTAAATCTCCGTTTACTATTACAAGAGGGTAGAGAACAAAAAATAGTCAACTTTTACAGGCCTCCGTTCCTTATTATAATTAAGATTGTCTCCCTACTTTCAGAAACTTTTTAAGAGGATAAAGTAAGCCACCCAGTTTCTATATACGAGGAGAATGTGCTCTTTTTCTCGTGGTTTCTTGAGGAAGTGCGAAGGTAGTTTCATTTAACTAAGCTTTACAAGGCGCCATGATTGGTGGTTATTTTAACAATTAAAAGGGTTATTATTGCTATCACTATACTAAAAATATGTATATAGTGTATACTTTCTATTATTATTTGTTAAAAAGAAAACTTTAAATAACAACTTTTTTTTGCTTTGTATACTCGTCTGGGTCTTCACTTGAGTGATAATGCATATTTTTAAGTATTTCTGATTATGGGTAGTAAACTACCTTACTTTTAATAGTAGCCATATAATTATTCTTTTGCCCAGGTCTTAAGCTTGTTTAAACAACACCATTCTAGATTATTATTTTGGCCTTCTAAACAGTATTAAGTTGTTTGAGTAAAAAAGTCACATCAATTTATTATATAGCTACGAAAACTCTTATGCCTAATTTTTTTGACGTTTGGCTGCCGAGGCCTTTACCATTTTTTCTCGAAAATGGCTCACGATTTTTCTAAATTTTGCTGAAGGTTTAAAAAAGGTGCGTAACATTTTATTACAACGATTTAATGCTTGAAAACTTTTTTTTTAAAAACTTGTATAAGAGAACTTTAAATTTTTAATTGTTAACTGGGTGTCAATGAATGTAAAAACATTTTTCTCTATGCAGTTAACACCTTATTATATATTAAGTTTATCTGTGGATCTCTGAGAAAATCGGGTTTAACAGAAAGTTAAATAATTAATTTTTGATTGGGACGCGTGAGAGAAAGGGTTATTCAACTTTATGCAGATTTTTTATTTTAATTTTACCGTAATTCCCAATAAGTCGAGGGGAGACCGCTTTATTTTGAATTAGGTCCATGTATCTTCGATTTCCTGGAATCCCCGACCAGCATTGCTACCTGCCAGGTTTTAAAAGGTTTAAGTATGTAAAGCCATCATACCAAGATGGGGAGTTGTCGACTTAGCTCAGTAGTTTAGAACAATAATCGGGGACGTGGGTTCGATTCCGTGTCTCTCTTTTTCAGTTTGAAAAGCTTATCTGTTGTGACACTAGTATAGTAAAATAAGTTTTACTTGAGTTCTTTTTAAATAATATTAATTTTTATGGTTTGGGTACTAAATACTATTCTAAATTTATCATAATTTTTGAACCGTGTGCAAAGATTATACGCGTACACTAATATTTTATTGGCCACATATTCCCTTAAATAGATTAGACTTGCAAACGAGCTTTATTTACCTAGGTTAACAATAATTCCTATGAAAGGTTTCTTTTTTAAAAGAATTTATTGTTCTGAGGAAATATACTAAATAGAAGTTAACAAAAAGAGGTATAGAAAAAGCGATTACATAGTTTTTATTATTTATAAACAGGTATTGCAATACATATAAGCTTATACACAAACTTGTATAGTGTACTACACATTAGTGCTATTCAGTTAAATATATCTAGACATCAAGACATTATTTGAAACATTGAAAAGTTTAGTAACTTAATTTTTTAAGTATGCCAGATTATGGGGTATTTTTTTAAATCTATCAGGTCACTACTGCAGTATTTACTTACAAACGCATAACCTGGGTAATGAAAAAAGGAAGTCACAATTTATTTTACAAGGAGTCGGTCACATAAAACGAATTTTTTTTTGTGCAGAATGAGGATGTAAATAAGATAATGACCCTTTGTTTTTGCTCCTTACTTCGAAGTTGTAAGGAGCGCCCCTACAGAAATTTTAACTAGTTAGCTTATTTTAAAAATTTAAGTATGGGACTAAGATAAACTTTGATAAGTTATGTCACATAATTACCTTATCTTTATCGATCCCTTCGGTCGTTATAAGTTGTATACTTATTATTATTACTTTAGACTGCCAGCGGTAGTTTAAGGTCAAGTGCACTTATCATAGGTAAAGATAGTCATAAATTCCATTTTTGTTAATTTTTATAAGGGGGCGGTATTGTCATCGCATTGTTAAAGTAGATAGTTTCTAAAAAATTTGTCAAAATTAACCGCAACTCAAAAGAGGGCCCCCCTAATGAGCGCGATGAACACATGTTCAATAGAATATACACCTAGAGGCATTTTATTAAGGTAACAGGATCTTAAAGTTGCGTTTTTCATAATTGTTATAAAGTTGTATTTTCCTTCAGTTTGTCTTCAGTTATATGATGGAAATATTATATACATGCAAGCCGAGTATAAAATAACAAGATATCAAGTTGCTGGTTACTCTTCTAGTCGTAGTGAAAAACTTGGACCTAATCAAATATGTAAAATAAGTCCTTGCCGACACAAACTGAAGCCTTAGCATAAACAAGTTTATACAGATATAGTTAATATATATATATGAAATTGCTTTAACACAAGCTTAAACCTAATCTGTACGCTATCACCCTATTGGGAGTCTGTAAATTCGTTGTTCGAGCACAAGGAAATACCAACCATGCATTAAAAAATGCACTAATATTAGAGGTCTGGTCGCCCAAAAATATTGCGTGCTCGCAGTGAAGTAGTAGGTGCCTGGGAGGGTGGCCACAGGAAAAAAAAAGGATAACAAACAAGGGTTGTATTTTAGTATACTTTAAACCCCCGCACGTACGAAGGGATTGGCCTAATTTTACTTTACAAGGCTGCTTTAAAGCGAAACTGCTATTTGCTCTGGGCTCTCTTCAGATGTGAACAGCAACAAAGTCAATCAAGACTGCTTGAAGGAGTATCTTGCTCTAAATGGTTCCTCCCGTTAACTCCTGTTTTTCACAAAAGCAAGTAAGGATCGGTTTTGGGAGGGGGACTAAGTTACGGTGTTCCAGCCACCTTCGAAATACGAAGTCACGGGGGGCGGTACCAGACTTTTGCACTTTTTAATGGCTTCTCTTGCATTCGTATCTGTTTCCAGGCCCAGAGACAACCCCATTCGTTGCAAAAGCTCCGTTTCGTCACACAGTCTAAACGGGCCGTTAAGACGAAAAACGTAATGGCACCTAGATAGTTAAAGAAGTAAATTAGCAAAGTACTTGGAAAGTCTACCTTTATTAAGTGACACTACGCGTCTTTGTCTACTTCGCAGTCAATTTGTGTTTCAGAGGAAGCACAGAGAAGAATGAAAGGCAAGTGGATGCGCTCTTTAATTCTTGGCGGGCCTCTCTGCTGCTGAGCTCCAGTGTTCCGGAATAAAAGATTTTTAAAGGACACTTGCTAGTAAGATTTTATTAAATAAGAAAAAGAAAGCCGCTAAATAGGATGTTAATAAAACAAAAAGGCACCTGAACCAACAACTCCTTAAGGAGTACTCTTTTCTGTCTCACGCTCCTTTCAAGACACAATTTCTTATCCTTTGTGGCTTTAAAAAGTGGAGCACTATGATTTTAGAAAATGGACCTTGAGAAAGACGGATTCCTGGGAGGAGCTGCTGGGTAATCCGCTCCACTTAAAAACTTTTTTTTCCTTAGAAACAATATTCATTGCTAAAAGAACTTTTAATACGTCGTAAACTCTTCTCTTAATATTTTTTGGCTCCGGCTGTAAAGTCATACTATGGCATTAGCTAGAAAGCGCACAACAACAGCAACTTATTCGTTTACTAAATCACTCGAGAGGGGCCCAAACAGGGGATCACGGTAGCTTGGGAGACAGAGTTCCGTTACCAGTTCTTCAGCGACCTCAACGTAAGTTGCTTTGCCTACAAAAGTCGTAAATAAGGCGTTTACAAAATCAAAAGTGTGAGAAAACACCTTTAAACTGCAGAATTTGGCAAACTTTCATAGCAAAGAAGCGTAAGCCCTTCCCACCTTTGTCAGTACCTTTGACAGAAGCTCTTTTACTCCTAGTTCAGTTAATACATAATTAACAGACACAGAAGGTCTGTTGACCCACAGTGCAACTGCGTTAAGTCTAAGATTTTGCTACTAGTAAATAAGACTCTCGAGTAAACTACTACATTTCAAACCATAATAAACCTTTAAAAAGTTAAAAAAAATTATTAGTAAAAGAATTATTATTTTACGTTACTTAAAAGAATCTTTGAAATTAAGGGCACTCATGCCTGTTCCCAATAAACTATAAACTTGCCTTAGTGTAAAATCTGGGTATAGACCACAAAGGTTAAGTATTAAAAAGTAAAAGATATATACTAACCAACACTTTTACTAAAAAAAAAATGGCTGCAATATTTTAATAATTGTATAGAGACTAGTAAATAGTTAGGAAAGAAAAATTTTTTAAACAATGCATAAATATAGTTTTACGTTTTAAGGTATTATTGCTTGTGTCAACGGCAAAAAAAGAATGACTGGGCAACCGATAGTAGATAAATACGCGATGGATGCACACCAAACGTAGCAAGGTTCCGGCGATTGGTTCTTTGTCTTTTTTTCCGCCAATATGGGCCATTTTTAAAAGGTGAATCCAACTTTAGTGGAGGTAGGAACGTGCGCCGGCTGATGAACTTATAGTTTCCCTAATCCCTCCCCACATAGTAAACAGGAAGGTAGGGCTTTGTACAAAAGTTTTCATTTTTTTATCTTTATAGCTACTAGGTACCAAACTCAAAGGCTAGTGTAAATATTTTGAAAAATTTAAACGTAATCATATGAAGCTAGCGTTAAGTAATGAAAAAGTGCCCTCGAAAGGTAACTTAAGTATACTATCCATTCCTCCAGATCAAGTTACTGTAGAAGGGTACAGCAGAATTTCTAAAGATCAAATTTTAACCTCAAAATTTTCCGAGTCCCAAGAAAGTCAAGTGTCCAATAAAGTAAATAAAAAGTGTTTAGATAAAAACTTTTTCATTTAAAACCGACAATACAACAAGGACCAGCACAGTAAAGAAGAAATATTTAAACTGATAATGAAAAAGAAAGATTACTTGAGGAGGCTACAATTGCTAAAAAAGTACAAGGAGACCGTTAGTTACGATATATAACTTTCTTTTTCAGTAGTATAACACTTTACAATAACTACTCTTCTTCGCTAATGAAAGCAGAATGAAAAGGAGCGCTTAATGAGCTTGATAGATGTCTGGAAGAATGTCTGTCAAGCGGCCGTTGAAGAACTACAAACGCTCTGCTCTCAAAATGAGAAGATCACAAAAAAGCAAATTTTTGAGGTTTCAGTACTTTGTTTTATGATTTTTATGTAATCATTGTTGATAACAGCGGCTTAGTATAAATTATAACTTACTGGGGTATACCTATGAGGATCTTGAATGATGGTAATAAAATGCAGCTATGTTTAGAAATTAGTTTGCCTTTAATTCTAAATTTAACCTCTACCACACTTATTAAATAGACTCCATAACCTTTAATTATAAATTGAAGTCCTCGTTCATGTATATAACTCTATAACTTATAAATGTAGTCTACTAATTCTCAAGAGCAAATTTTGTGAGGGCCGATAATATGGCGGTAGAGAAGACCACTTTTAACTTGTTGCTATGTAATGTCAGTATTTGGGCGTTCTTCTCTACAAAGTAAATCTAAAATATTTTTGTTCACAATTTAAAAGTAAAGAAGAAACATGGGTACAATATTTACTTTTTATTGTTACCCACCAGTTGATCAAGCCAAAGCAGGCAGCCACCAATGTCCAAGGCTTGCTGGGCACAAGACCCCTTAGCAAACTGGGCAAAATCGGTAATCTGAGAAAACTTAAATTCTATTAAAGCACATTTTTAGATAAAAGTTAACAGTAAGACGAAAACAACTATATAAAAAAATCTAAAGACCTTTCTTTGCAAGAGGCCTAGAACTTTGGCTCATCATCTCGGTTTTGCTAAGGGAGGAACTACTTGTATATAAAAATGAGTGCTAGCTTATCTTATAACAGTATTTATTAAAAAAGCGAACCATTCCCTTTCCAGACAAGCTTTTATAAACTTCAGGTCCAAAGAAAGAGGGCTATCACTTTTGTTACAAAAAACAAGAAAGGGGACTCTCTTTTTTAATAAGGAGTAGCGTTCCAGAAGAAAGTAGAGGTAACTAAAGTATATCAAAAAAGGGGTTTGTAAGGCGCTAATAGTGGCAAAAATAGTATGGACAACGGCTAGTTCAGAAAGGCAGAGGCTTACTCAGCGACGTCCCCAGCTTGCTGTTTCAGGGCACTGCTGTCCACAACAAAGATAACTCCGTCAGCCTTATCGTTGTAAGTCTTCAAAAAGGTCTTCCGTACGCATTCGTGCCCGGGAATATCTACGATGCGTGCGAGCCTTATGAGTATAAATAGATATTAAATATTCCTCACTAGTAGTTCCGGAGAGTATTACCTTTTACCACTATTCGGATATTCGATAACATTCGGTATTGTCGAAGTACAAGACTCTAAACTTTTCTGGCCCAAGGCTAACTTAAAAGCCAATAGTTATACAAAGTAAAAGTTTTTATAAAGTATGTCATTTCAAAGTTAGAAGATGGGGCGTGCTTCCTAGCACAGAGTATTATTTATTCTCCATACCAGGTATTGTTGGAATTATAGATAATAAATAACTGTATGCATATTCAAAAGTTCTCTGTTTTACACACAGGTGCCTTTATATCCCAAAAGACAGTAACACCTTACAACTTTATTCAATATTAACCAAATATAAAGCTCTGATACTTTTATAGGAAATGATAACTTTTAAAACACTTTAAATACTGAAAATAAAATAAAAAAAAAAAAGGATAAACAGAAAGGCCAAAACCATAACTATTTCCTTCAGCCCATATATATAGAATCAAAATAAGTTTAAGTCATACCCGAAGTAACAAAGTTGTTTTTCCGCTTTCACACAACCCAATAATAATAATAAGCTTCTTCTTTTTCTTTACTAATATTAAAACACTTAAACTTGTAATTATTATAAAACCCAGAAAAAACAGGAAAGACTTGAAACTAAGAACAACACCACAGCTAAACAAAGCAAAAAGGAGCATTTACTTCAACTACAACCACACAGTTTACCTCCCCCTCCTTGGGACGTATTTTTCGGGTAGCTCGCCCGAGGGTACATTGCACATGGCTGACAGCCCGAAACTTACTTTCCAACCCAGCCCACCTAATATATGTACTTCAGTTACATTGCTAAGGACATTGGGGCACGCTCTTTTGCTTTGCATATGCTATTAACTGGTCATTAAATGAAGATCTACCAACTGATGCTCTATAATATGTGTGTAACTCAGTTATGACTCCTTTAAAGCGATTTAGTAATATGCTGTAACTTAAATAGTGATATTTAACGAAAAGACCAGAAGGAACCTAAGAGGTGGCACTTTATTTCCACGCCCAATAAGTAATAGTTAACAAAATAAAAGGTCAAGAGCAAAGGGAAGAAGGATAGCGCCAACTGAAGCTCTATATAAGATATAAAAAAATAATTAATTATCTGAGAAATTACACAAAATTGGCAAGTTCAACAATATTATATTTAGAAGATGAGGATTTTTTGTGCTACCCGTTGGTCTTGCGATAGAAAACAACGGGAAAGAAAGCAGGTATTGTTTAAATATGTAATTTTATAAGTTGTGCATAATTTATTAAGAATTTAGTCACCTTACAGCACGGAATTAAAAATTTGAATTCTTGAGGAAACCTATATATATTTTATTAGGTAACTTTTATAATCTATTGCTACAATACGAGGTATATATATATATATTTTTTTTAATAAGGCACATGGTGGCTTGACCCATATTTTCTTGCTCTTTCTCCCCTCCCTTCTTTTTCGGTTTTTACCGCGTCTTTAGTGTTTTAGTTTTCCGTTGGTCGATCTAGAGACCGGCGATATTATAAAGGTTATAGTTTTAGTCTAGGGGGCTAGAGTAAAGAATAAAAGCCTAGAGGCCGTTATAGCTGGATTAAATAGCTTAGTAGTCTAGAGGACAACTAAGTAAATACTAAGTTAACTGGTTTTACTAAATATTTAAACAGATTTAGAAACTTTATTTAAACATAATTAACTACATATTAACAAGTTATGGGGTTCTTGCTCTATATTCTGTATTAGATGCTCTAGTGCTCAGATTCCCTTTTTAATGCACCAGAAATCTATCTTTACTTCCCTACTTATTCATATTGTTTATTTAATATAACGTATGTTTCATTACTTTTTTAATCTTCCTGTCAAGACTTACTTATATTTTCCTAGTATGACAGTTTGTACTAGAACGCACTCAGGGAGGGAGTAAGTATTAAAATTATTATAGTCATTATTATAATTTGAAAGCCTTCTTATGAAACTGAGTGTTAGTACTAAAATAAGTTAGATAACTTCGTTATCCGGCCTTCAAAGTTTTAAATTTCAAAGTGGTTTAATAAAATAAAAATATTTAGGATTCGTAGCAAGCAAATTTTACAGTCCTGTTCATAAATAAGTAGGGCAAACCCCCCTCAAAGCTTTATTACTTGGCACCCTCCGTTATTAACACCAATAATTTGTAGGGTCCTACACTTACTATAACCGGATAACGGTAGCCTCCTTATTGAAGATGAAATTTTTAATTTTTAAAAGGCGGAGAAATTGTAAAGACTTCATGCTTCTAATTTTTAATGTTTCCGCTCACGTTAACCGAAAAAAAAAAGGCTATTATTTATAAAGGCATTAAACTTGTATAAAATGATAATTTTTAATTATTAACAAAATTGCTAGTCAGTACCTTTCATAATATTCTATTTTTTTTGTATAGACACAAGTAACATTTGTTCTCATGTTCACGTAAATAACTCATGGCTGCACGTGCTTTTGTAATGAAACCTTAACCTTTGTTTTTTCGACAGCTTTAAGCTAAAGGAAATAGATGTTTATTTTATATTAATTTATTATTTTTAAAAAATTCTTTTCCTTTTTTATTAGAATGAAATAGCGATGTGATTCTAAGCTTTGAAAAGTAAAGTATATCATAAACTTACTCTAATCAGTAAATAGTAAATTTTTGAAATTATTAGCCACGCGCGTCTACTAACTAGCATGGCCATGAATATACTATCGTTCAAAATAGTTTGTTTTAAATTTTTGCGTAAAAACTCTGTAAGGCTTTAATTAATTATTGGTTATATTGATACCTTCTATGTATAGAAGTTTAGATTGTGATTTATTTATAGTTGGTATTAGAGGCCTTGCTTTCTTAATTAAGCCTTTATCGCATTATCGATCGAAATGATTTTCTCGTGACCCCCTTTCGTGTAAAATTGTTTCTATCTATACGAATTTCCAACTTAGGGGGTTTTTTTTAAAGCGTTTGAGTGACTCCAATAGCTTATGTAGAGTCCTTAATTTAATAAAACGTGAACTTTCAAGCGATAAAGAAATTGATGTAAATTGTCTTTTACATCAAGGCAAGCCTTATACTGAGATCGCTGTGAATGTTGTGCCAGTAAGACCACAATACCCCGGATCAAAGCTCAATACGATCCAATTCTTCCTTGCAATGAACCTGGGCGAGTAAAGATCTTGTAAAACCGGGATGTAACTCGACTTGTACGTCAAGTGATTGCGCACTTGAATCTGCACGGAAAGCTTCAAAAATTATAGAAACAACATTAGATAAACCAGCTTTAAGATCGACCGTATCGAGAGCATTGCATTCTGCTGGTCTCCATGCGAAAAAAAAAATTAATTAGCCCTGCTTTGACCGACAGGCACAAGGGACTAAAATTTGAGTTTGCGAATAAGTACGAAAACTGGTCCATTTCTACTAGGGAAAAGTAATTTTTTCGGACGGGACCAAGATCAATTGATATGGTTCAGATGCTATTAAGGTGGCGTTGGAAGCGATCCGGCGATATTCGAATACTCGATTACCAGGTGGTGAACGTATACACATGGGGGAGGATCGATTATGATTTGATTCTGTATAAGATCTAAGGGAGTCGGACATTTAGAAAAAGTGACAGGAAGCATCACCGCAAGCACGTATTTTGACATTATTAAGAAAGGCCTACCTAGGACATGCGATTAGTATGGCTTTGATCTTGGTGAAACGGTTTTTCAGCAGGATAATACCCCTTATCACACTGTGCTATCGGTGCGATCATGGCTCCAATTACAATTGTTCCAAGTGATGGACTGACCACCGCAATCTCCTGATCTCAATCACATTGAGCATTTGTGGGGAGTCTTGAAGAGAAAGATGGGACATCCGAATCAGCTCCTGTTAACTTGAACGAGCTTTGGACACGGGTGCCAGTATAACAAGGAGGACACAAGCAGTGTTCCGGCAAAAGGGTGCTATACTAATTATTAAAACCTCGTTTATTAAATTAAATTTTTTCTACTTGCAAAGTTGATTCTATAATCTTTCAACTTTACAAGCTCATATATTTTCGAATATTACACCCATTCAAGGACAAGTATTAACAAAATGTAGCTAGAACGTAGAAATTTACTGTGTATAATATTTAAAGTAGTCCAATACGTTATTGAAAAGTTATTAAGTTAAATGAAAAAATGCAAAACACTGAAACAATTTTGCACGATAGTGTGAATAAAGACAACATATCCGGTAGGGGGAATTTTTTCTAATCTTTGCTTCCTGGGTGGAACGTGCTGTGGTATGGGGAGGGGCAGGCTAATTACTGTTTTATATATAATTTGTCTAATAGATTTCATGTATATTTAATCCTACCTTGGGTATAGCTACTACCAGTGGTAGTACAATTCTAACAATAATAGACCTTCAAAAAGTAATTTACATAAATGTTAATAGTTGACCATATAATAACTACTTATAATTAAAACTTTTTCACATGATATTGTACCAGATTTATTTCCTATCATAAATTATATTAATTGAATAAGTTAGAACTTTATAAAGGTCGAAATTTCAGAAGTAACGCAGCAACTTAAGCATTACATAGACACTGATAACAAGTGTTTGCGATTAGTTATAAGTTAATATCGTTAATTTCTATATTATCATGATCAAAAGCAAGATTCCAAAAAGGAGCTATCCCGTCATGAGTTTTAAAAAGGGGCTCCACATCATAAAGTTGTTTAAAGTTATTTACATTTTGAGCAACTTTGAATGTTTTGAGTTCGGGGTAAACAGATATGGCAATGTAATAAAGTGGAAGCATTCTATCCATGTTTTCTTTACCTCTCTGATCATTATCCCAAGTAATATTAAAATAGGGTATATTATAAATGGAAGCTCTTTTTAAAATGGGCATTGTGCTGTTGTTTTTTAAAAGCAGCTTTAGAGGTATACGAGACCAAATATCAATGCCCGTGTTTTCACAAATCCTTGCAAGAGTAAACCAGCCTTAGAAATTAGTTAGTCAAAGAAAAAAATTAATTTTTTTTTTAAGTATATTTCAATAAGTTAAATAACCTTGTAAAGTAAACATAATATAGTGCAAGTGGGTCTTTCTCACTATTTCATGAGGCATACGACCAAATTCATCAAAATGCTCTTGCATTCTCATTCTTGCACGATCAGTGTGGATTAAGAAAAGTGGTATGTTGTCTAGAAACGCTGCGATAGTTGCAAGCTGAATATCAAAATATAATCCGTGGTTGTTAGGGGCGATAAACTCCTTTTGACCTACATGACATAAATTTATTGTAAATTAATGCCAGAATACACAGAGTAATAATAAGGCAAGTAATATATTTGTCTACGATGAATATTATAAAACGTAACTAACACAGCTTTAAGCTGTAAAAATATTAAATTTTATATGTAACAAGTACATTTTATCTATTCGCACTGATTGAAACCTTGTTCAGATTTTTTTAAAAACCTTGCAAATTCCAGAAACCAATGCCTCAGATCTTTCATTTTTTCGGGAGAAAGAGCCATAGACCGCTCCACCAGTTTAACGGCGTCAAGAAAATAATAAAAGTCTTTTGTTTCTATACAACCTAAATCAATATAAAAAGTTTAGCTGCATATCATTTTATAGCAAGTAGTAACGGTAGATAGTAGAGTTTACCAGTGGGGGAACCCTTATCACTATTGTAACCATAACGTATTTGCGCGTATAACAAGTGTGGGTTCATTTTGGTCGCAGGGGATAG